AAAAAAAAAAAGAAAAAAGAATGACAAGATGTAGTATTTAAAAAAATGATGGTGGGCAGAACAAAACTAATAAATGTTAGATGTCAAACTAGTTGTTAACATTGTTATAAAACCAGGCAAATGTCCAGAATGAGTAAACTAAAAGATACAAAATGGAAAATAGAGAGCAGTATTAATAATCTGGGTCTAAGAAAAAACGGGGAGTTTGTAGAGGAGATAGAGAGAGAAGTAGGAAATAAAGAGGAAAACTGAGGGGTTTTTGGGGGCCAGCACAAGACCCGAGTCCCCTGCTATGCTTCACAATCACTCCCGCCCCTAGCTGGAGAGACCTCTAGCTGGTCCGTGTCAGCAAAGTATGAGATGACAGTCTCTGGCACTTGCCCAGAGAAAAAGTTCTTTACTTGAGGACGGTGCCCAAGGCTCCTCCACCTCACATTTAGTCAGATGGCCCTGGGACTGGGAAGCCCATGGAAAGCATCACCACTGGTACTTGACCAACAGGCTACTCAGAGACAATGTGCCTTTCCCGGGGACCAGTCACTGATATACGTGACTACATCTGGCAAAGAATGCTGAGCCCATAGAGGTCTTTATGCGTGAAGGGAACCGGCCCAGTTGCAACACTGGATGACAGAGCCAAGCCAGTGGTTCCACCCTGCTCTCCTCATGGGAGCCAGTGAGGCACTAGGCAGCCACCTCTCTATGCCACACTTGCTGGATCAGTGGCTGCTGATCCTTAAGACCAGTTTTGCCTGGCAGCTGCTGCCTGGAGCAGGGCTGGGCGAAGCAGGCTGCCTACTGCACAGAAGACTCCTCTCTCCCGCATGGCTTTTGGTTCCTAGTCCCCTTAGCATTCGAACGGAACCCATCTGCCTTTCCGCCAGACTGTATGCCCCAGTCCCTACCCTAGACACAGCCAATGGCTGACAATTGTGTCTTGCAATTTCTCATTTCTAAGAGGACTAATGCAGGTGTGATTCCCAAGGCTGGCCTAGGATCCTGAGTTCAAGCCTGAGCTCAGTGGAAGTGTCCATCATAGGTGGCGGCCAAGGGAGTGGGGCTCTGGGTACCTGTGAAGGTGGTGAAGGTATGATGCAGTTCATTGAGATGGTTGGCTGTGTTCTGGAACTGACGCTCCAAGGCAATGAGCTGGCGCTCAGTGGCCCTCTGCTCCTGCTCGGGATCCATGAAGGGGCCGGACAGGGCCTTCTGAAGCAGGCCTTCCAACTCGGCTAGTGCTGCCGCCATCAGCTGCTGCAGCTTGGGGATGATGGCGTGTCGCTTGCTGAGCAGGAGCTCTGAGGCCTGGGTTTTCTCAAACTGAAATGTCTCCCACATATCCAGAAGCTGCAGGCCAGCAGAAGGCAGTCAAGTAGATGTGGTTGTGGGGAGGGGGATAAGGAGGGACAGGTGACACCTGGTTGCCTGCTCACCGTCATGTCCAGCTCCTCATTCTCAGCACTGAAGTGGCTGAAGTGTGTGCGAATGAGCTCATGGAGAGACCACACGTATTCCATTCTCTCCTCCAGTTCCAAGTATTTCTCGTTGGCCTCGTTCAACTGCAGGGACTACAGCATGAGACCAGCACCCCCACAACCCTGCATGCCTACTTGAACCCATCCCTGAGGGGTACTCCCACTTGCCTAAAACTCCAGACCCCAGCAGTCACCTTTAAACCAACTGGGATCAGGGATAATTTGGGACTAGATCCCCATCCAGAGCCTCCCTGCTGGTACAAGGGGTTAAGTCTCAGCACTATGAAGCCACTAGAACACAAGTTTGATCCTGGGTCAGGGAGGTGATCCACATGGCGAGGCAGACCTCTCCTGTCCCACCTGCTGCCCCCCTCAGCAGTGTATTACAGTAGATCTGCCTGTTCTGTTCCCCCACTCTGCTCTGGTGAATCTTCTCACACCCCACACTTCTGGCCAGTACCCCAGTTACTGTGTGCATAAATAAAATAAATCTTAAAAAAAAATAGATCCCCATCCAACCCATAGTTCTGCCCCCACCAAATCACTGTTCTCGCAGCAGGGTTTAGATCCCTATCTAACTGTCAGAGAGAAGTCTGTCTCCAAAAGCAGGCATCTCCCTGCCATGAGCACCCCAGGGGCCACAAGAACAGGCCGAGAATCATTAAGGGCATGTTCTTAAGCAGTGTTCCCACTGTGAGCTCAGCTGAGACCTGAAGAGTGTTGGGGAGCATCTGGGCCCTGGATTAGCGGGGAAGGGAAAATGGAGAAAGCCCACCTTCTGGGAGCAGCGTGCAATGGTGTGAATGTCCATGTTGATATTTTGGAAGGCCTCCATGAAGTCTGTGAGCTCTGACATTAGCTGCTGACTGCGAACATTGCATTCGCCCTGCACCTGCATGAGAATGTCCTTCCTGATGCTCTCCAGCTTGGATTCTGAAGACAGGAGAGGGTGAGGTGTCAGAAGGTACAGGAAGAAGAAGGGATATTTGGGAGTGCTGGGGGTCCGGAATGGGAACAGGGCTCAAGGCCATGAGTTTATTCCTTCCCTCATTGAACACTTTACTAGACCCCTGGTCAATGTCCAGTTAGCAGCCATACATGAGGGCCTGTGCTGCTCTCCAGGGGAGACAAGAGTGAGTAAGACAGAAAGGATTCTACACTCAGAAGTTCACAATGTGGTGGCAGAAACAAATGTAAAGGTACAATCACAAACCACTGAGATAAAAGCTCCTCGAGCCCCTAGGAGCCTTCATCCTGGTACAGCAAAGGAAGAAGAGGCCCCAGGAAGCTGAGAACTTCAGCCCCAGGACTTTGGGGCTGAATGTCCCGCTGTAGTTAATGTGCAAGAGGAAGAGGAGCATCAAGTAGCTGTAGCAGCCTGTGCAAAGGCAAGGGAGTGGCTGCTGGAGGCTAACCGAATCCCTACCAATACGAGAAAGTTTTCCCTCAGGGACTTTCTTGCCTGCCTCTCTGGAGTAGAAGAGTTATCAAGAGTGTAAATTGTGCCTTTCATTCTCAGGGATTAAAGGAAAGAGTCCGTCAGGGAACTATGGAACTAGAAAATGATCTGAGGAGTTTCCTTTGGGAATACAAACTCTGCTGTTTCCAAGACCGAGAATCACAGCAACATGCACCTCATCAGAGCTGAGACACCATCGGCAGTTATGAAGCACCATAATTTTTATGTACCACAAATTTTAAAAAAAAATGATGCCATCTAAACTCAATCTTAATACACCTCTTAAATTCAGAAATGTTAAGGGTCCTCCCTGGTGGCGCAGCGGGTTGAGGCACTGCACTAAGAAACTTAAGCCACTTCCGCAAGAGTTCGACCTCCGCCTGCCCCCGAGGAGACCACATGGCGTGGCAGACCTCTCCTGACCGGCCCGCTGCTCCCCTCAGCAGTGTACTTCGTCGATCTGCCTGTTCTGCTCCCCACTCTGTCTC